GCCTTAGTATGGTGGTTGATATATATTAAATTGGGGTTATTTGAATAAAAATTGTAAATTTTATTTAATATTTATCTTTTGTAAAAGTTTAATTCACCTAGTTGTATCAAGCATGGAATCAACTTGTAATGTGATATTAAAGTAGGCCTTGGTGAGTTCTTTAAAATATATTAAATTGAGGACATTTAGATATGTTTGAAAATCTAGAGAAAAATTAATTAATGAGCTTAATTAATTTTATTTTAAGTGTGTTGGTCACTTAAATTGATATTGGAGGTAATAAGTTGATAATCCCTTGAAATGTGGTCTGTTTAATCACCTTGTGAGCATGTTACTAATTTGATGTAGAATTAGTACTTGAGACATCTTGAAATGGTAATTGGACTTAGCATGACATAGAATATCATTGACTTGCATAACTTGTTTAGATATATCTTGTGTAGGTGTATAGCTTGTTAGAATATTACAATTATTTACCTTGGAAGCTAGTTACTAAATTGGGACTTATTTAGTACTTGTGGCTTAGTGTGGTAATGTGGTTCAATTGTTGTAAAATATTATTGTTTTGGTGTATAAATTGCATATTGGAGGATTGACATGTCATATGCTATCTAGACTTGAATTCTATGACATGGTTTGTGTGGATTCAACCTTATTTGTGCATGGAAAATGGCTTTATGCATTAGTGGATTTGGTATAAGTTTGGTCTAACTTATTGATTTTTGTATAAGTTTTGGACTTATTGATTTTGGAAAGCTTGTAAGGACATATTTCACGTGATGGCTAGGGTTCGGCTCTAGTACGGAGACAAGAGTCTTCTAAGTTATAAGTGTGCACTAGGTAGTACCTTGTGGGTTGTAATTGCCCGGAATAACTTATGCATGTGCGCACTAGGTAGTACCTTGTGGGTCGTAATTACCCGGAAACACTTGCTTGGTCTAGTGACCACATGTCCTAGTCTTTCTACTTTAATTTCGCATTCAATTTCAAGTTGTTAATCATAGATTACTTGTAGCTTGAGAATTAATGCTTGCTTTGGATATTTGAATCTTACTTAGTATACTTAAAACTGTATACTGGTTCTGTGCATTTAAATCTCATATAGTGTACCTGAACTTGTATGCTTGCTCTGTGAGTTTAGATTTCATTTAGTATGCTTATGCCGTGTATACTTGTTTTAGGCGTATCTCTCTTAGCTTAGTATACTTGTGTCAGTATACTTGATTTACGAGATTTTCATATAAAATGCATACTTGTGTAATTATGCTTAGACATTACATGACTTGTCTTAATGTGGTTTAGTATACTTGGAAATGTATGCTTGTATGTTGTATAACATGTTTAACATTGTTTAGTATACTTGAGCATGTATACTTGTATGTCGTTGTTCACTTTAAATTGCATGAGTAGCTTAGGATGATCCCTGAGTCTCACTTGACATAGACGTTAGGTGGCATAAGCTCCTTTGACATGTTTCACCTTATGGTGATATAATTGTAAAACGCTAAGTCGATGCATGCTCATCTCCTACGAGTAGCTTTATGTTACTCACCCACGTAGTGGGGACATTTTTCAGGTACCGGGATCAAGATTCGGGATTCACATCATGCTTGGATGATTTGTAGACTTGAAGTTCTCATTTCTTGTATATGTTGGCTTGAAATGCCATTTATAACTTTATATGTCAAAATGTGTAAATTTGATTCTATTTTTGTAATGTGTACATAACTACACTCTTTACAATGTATTTGACATGTATGAGATGAGGCCATAGGCCAATGACATCTAATTTGTATTCTATGTAACTTTTAACTTCATGAAATATTATGAAAATATTGAAAAATGCCGAGTCATTGCTTCACTATGCTTGCATCGGGTGTTGGAATTCCATTTTTATTCTTTCATAGGGTCTCATTAATCATGTATGAAGTGTGGCCATGGGCCAAACGGTAATTTGAAATCATTTGTTAATTTTGGTTTTCAAATTTCCCTTTTCTTGTTCATATTTGCCTTTTTGCCCGTTGGGGGGTCGAATTTTGCATTGGTGGTATTTTTAAGTCATGGACCATTGTAGCACGTCCTAATAGGTAAGTTATGTTTGCGTGCATGATCGTTTTCAAGAAAAACCTCTTCCTTGGCAATTTAAGCCTCCTAGGAACTCATTTTGAGGTTTTATTGCATAATCTGATCTAGGGGTATTGTAGACCTTTCACATCAGTTTTATTTTCTTCTTTCAACATGGTCGATTAGAAAACGTGATTTTAGGGAGGGTTTCTTTTTCATGTTTTTCTAGAAAACATCTTCTTGGTACCGGAAATCCCTCGTGAAGTTTCAGCTTTCAGTTTTCATTTTAGCAGTTTTTAGCTCTTTTGACCAGATTTCTTGGGAGGGCATTTTGGCCATTTTACAGTGAGTTTTTTTTTTTAATTCTCCACAAGTCACATAGAAAACTCAATTTTGAGGGGGGTTTCTTCTTTGTGTTTTTGTAAAAAAAATTAATCTAGGCCTCCAAATTCAGCCTCTGTTCCTGATTTTTCTGGAAAAAAATCATACAGCAGCTTTATGGGCTGCTGCCAGCCATGTGTGCACCCAGCACGCGCGCGACGTGCATGGGCGTGCGCATGGGGCTGTCATGGCCCCTTGTCGGGCCGCCGTAACATCAATTCTTCTTTTGGGCTTTTCTCCTTCGTCCGGACTTTGATTCAAGTGAATTGTTTTTTGAACTTGACTAATTTTTCGCTGTCTTTCCAACGATGTGCTCGGTTGCACCCGATTCTTCCTAGATAATTACCAGTTTACCTTTTTTGCCTTAAGTGCTCATTTTTCTTCGTCATGCCGTTTCTCCTTCGTCCGGATTCCGAATCATGCGATTCTTGAGTCCATCTTGATTAGTTTTTCATTGTCCTTCCAGCGGTGTGCTCGGTGGTACCCGAATCTACAGTTTTTAGAAATGACTATTTTGCCCCTAGGGGCTTATTTGTCATATTTTCGATCTTTTGCTTCCGCATTAGTTCTTGTTGAGTTCCACGACCTCATGGAATGTCACTTTGACTTCTTAGAATCTTGTTTTCTGTTTTTGTTTCCGCATTTCGGATCCATTATCGGATCAAACTACAGTTCATCATAGGACATACTGGCTTAAAAAACCAGGGCCGTCACATGTAATTTTGAGCAATGCAATGGAATGCACTATCCCAAACAAGTGTAAAAAGATGTGATACATGAGTAAAATGACCTAATTGCCCCTGGGAGCATTTGTTGCCAAAATACACCTTCTGAACTTGAGTGAAACCCTAATTGGCCTGTAAAGAGTATTGTAAACACAATGTACCTTCCTTAAGCCATTTGAAAAACTTCGTATGAATGTACAAAGACAATGTTGCCCTTGTAATCCTCTATAATGCACTGAGCTCACTAGAATGAACTTTTTGACATTTCAAGGGCAAACCCTAATTCAAAGATGGGACCAACAACATAGAATTGGAGCTTTAGAGCTGGAATTAGTGGAATTCGAGAAAAGTAACTCAAAAATTGAAACAAATTTTTCTGAGAATTCCACCAATTTTAAGGCTCCATTTCTATGCCGCCAAACACAACCTAAATGAAATCCTCAATCCCATTTTAAAAAGTAGACAAAGGAATGATTCAATACAATTTTTTTTTTTAATAATATAATATAATTTAATATATATTTTTTTCTCGTGATCGAATTTGCATTATAGGAAATGGAACGAAAGTTTTTCAATTACCATCACAAAAACAATTAGGCAAGAAGTTTTGTTACGCCCCAAAAATTCTAAGAAAATGCTTTGATACCATTCTGTCACGGCCCGAAAACTCTAAGAAAATGCTCTGGTACCACTTGTGACGGTTGAGTTTCGGCCGGCTGATGGTGTCATTTCGGTCAACCGATCCTCCTTGGGACCATCTCACTTCATTTTCCTTGGACAGTTTCCTTGCATCAACTTTAGAGGGTCATAACTATTTCATTCTTAATCCAAATTGGGTCGTTCTGAAGTCTAAATTCAAGAGCTTGAAGTTGGCTTTCCAATGGTTCTAACCACACCTCAAAACTCCACCTGTGGTGAGAGTTATTCCTGATTTGGTAAGATAGGTTTATGGTATCTCTTAAACGGAGAATGCCATTTTGTTTTTTTTATATTTTTTCCGTCCGGACTCCGAATCAGGTGATTCTTGAGTCCAACTTCATTCATTTATTTTTATCTATCCAATGGTGTGCACGGTAGCACTTTTTTTTTTTTTTTTTGGTTAGAAATGAACATTTTACCCTTGGTTCATTTCTTTTCGGGTTTGACATTCTTACTTCATTGCTTGGCTTAGTTGAGTTCCATGACTTCATGGGAAATCATTTTGGTGCCTTAGGGATGATATACATCTCTAGAGGTCATTTTGCACATTCCACTTCGGCATTTTGGATCCGCTATCGAGTCATTCTTTCTGTTTATCACTGACTCACCGAATTGAAAAATTTGGGCCGTCACAAGTTTGTTGCATAAAGGAGACTACAACTGGTTTTAATCTAAAAAAAATTTAAAACCATGGTCTTTCTTTTTCTTTTTTCTTTTTTTGTAAGTAAATACAGAGAGAGATCCGTTTTCTAAGTCTCTATCTGCTCTCTCTAGAGGAAAAAATTGAAAAAAACCATGGCAAATACAGTTGCTGTCATCTTTTGCACGATAGATTATGAAAAACCTTCGATGATGTTTCCTTCATTTATTATTATTATTATGTTTTTTGTACAAGACTTTAGACTTGTAACATATAGAAACTCTTTTAAGTATTCTAATTACCATAGTAAAAACTATTTAAAAAGTTAGTAACTCAAAATTAATTAAAATTTAAAAAAACTCTCAATTGATTTTTTTTGTTTTGTTTTTTTGACACAAATGAAATTGAGTGAGCTCGGGAAGAAACGAATCAGCCATGACCAATTCCTCCCGTTCTGCTGGACCAGAACCCTAATTCGAATTTTAGACAAAATGACGAAAATCAACAAGAAGAACCATCTCAATCTCCTCAGGGGTCACAAGGTGTTTCTTTCTCAAGAGGAAAATCAGGAAGCAGACGACCACCCAGAACAGTCAGGTATGTCTCTCTCTCCTTCTCCTTCAATCATAGACACCACCACCTCCGAACTCAACCCACCTCCTCTCACCTCATCCCCCAACCCACGTCGACGACCCAACAAGCGAAAGAAGGGTAGTGTGAAAAAACAACAAGCAATTGAAAAGAAACTCCAGACCCTAAGTGAAAACCTAAAACCCATTCCGTTTGTACCCTCCAAAACCCTAGATGTTTTTAAACACGAGAAACTTCTGAAGCGACTCGGTTTGTGGGACTTTGTCCACATCGAATTCGATCGGAACATTCGTGTTGACCTCCTTGTGCAATTGATTGCGAATTATGACCCAAAATTGCGGTATAGTTATGTGAATGGCTTTAGAATAGCAGTGAATAGGGCCGATATGGCGCGGATCTTTAAATTGCCTGTGAAAAAGAAAAAGGACAAGAAGGGTAGTAGTGTTTCATCGTCAGAGGCAGTAGTGGATTTGGATTCGGATTCGGATTTAGAGGAATCGATATCGTTCATTGCGGATTTTGTGTCAAACTGGGTGCTTTTGCACGAGGATACTTGGATGATGCCAACAGATGTCTTGAGCTGGACACGGGCAATCAGAGACAGGCATCCTGAGAAGGTGGATTGGGCGAGTTTGATTTGGTGTATGGTGGAGAAGGAATTGGTGCAGGGGCAACACTTGGAATATTGTTACTACGCTTCACACTTGCAGTATTTGATAAAGTCGCAGCGTGAGGAGACTCTGGGAGTAGAGCCTAAGGATGGCGGTGATGTGAAGATTGGTGCTTCTGATAATTATCTGGGACAAGAAGATGTCATATTGGAGGAACCCGATATTGAATTGACTTTGGGGCAAGATAATGTTGAAAAGGAAGAACAACTCAAGGAGGATGAGGAATTGATGGATGTTGAGGAATGCAAGGAGCAACAACACGGACATTGGCTTTTAGATGGAAAGAACAATGAAGGCAAGCACTTTTTGCAGCACTGTAGTTTAGAAGAAGGTAGTAGGGGTTTGGATAGTCATTGGGAGGGGAAACAGGAAGATGAAGAAGTGGAAGTACATGGGGGGGATGGATTTGATCTCATGCCAAATGCTGATGCTCTAGATGGGGATGGCTTGACTGGCAATACGAGGTTGTTGAGGACTGATGGCTCGTGGGATCAGAAATCATCTGATTTTGGGATGTGCATGGAGCAAGTGCAGCAGTGGATGGGAAAAGCTAGGATGATGTATAAGGTGAAGGAACAGGCTTGCGAGGAATCAAATATGAAGCAGCAGTACTTACTTAATGAGCTGCAGCAACGGGAGGGTGTGATTGAACACTTGCACAAGGTCAAGGTGGCAGAGATTAAGAAAAGAGACAGAGAGATATCACGGCTTGAACATGATCTTTATTTAATGGGCAATCTTTTAAAGGGCTACAGGATGGCTTTAAAGGAAACCCACAAGTCATTCTCTGAGTATAGACAACGCTGTCAACTTCCTGAAGAACCACTTTATGAGGATGCTGGTCCTGGTGGTGTCATGTTCAGCACCATGGAACTGGAGAAACGTCAGAAACGAGAAGAAGAAGAGAGGGTGATGATTGAAGGAAAGATAATGGAATTTGAAGCGGAGTCTATCGATAAACTGAAAGCACATTTAGACATGGTCTGCATGCTGGATGAGAGGTTGAAGGATCTTTCGAATGAAGTGAAACTACTTCAGGAACTGTCTGCAAAGAACAAAGTATCAGAAACATCAGGATTTGCTCCTGACGAATGAACTGCCATCTATGACTTCCTTTTGAAATCTAGGTGAATTTCAATTACTAATGCATAAGCTATAACCATGACATGTTGTCTATATGACGAGGTAGCTTTATGTACTAACCTCTAATGTATGTTGATATGGTGACAGCAACTTCCACCCTTTATTTTTGTAATCTGCTGCCCCCCCTTATTTTGTTTTTATATGTGAATATGGTGCTATATGCTTTTGCCCGAGATTGCTCTTTGCTTTTACTCCTGTTAAAATGTTGACTCAACTGGGAATGAATGATTGCCTTACTGATTGGCTGATCTAATAACATAGAGCAATACAGGAAAAAATTAATGATCAAATGCTGCTCAAATTTCAATATAAAAGAATGCAAATTGAGTGATTAAAATGTCTCCTTGTACTCTTTTTAGTCATTTAAAAAATCTTCCCAAGTTCATTGGTATTTGGAATAAAAAAAAAACAAAAAAAACAAAAAAAACCCTTGATAGTAGCAGTATCTATTGTCCATCTGTGTTCATATTTCTTTCCTCTTATGGCTTCATCAGAACTGTTAAATTATTAAGACCCCAAGCAAGCTTGATATGGATTTTGTGTCTTACTTCATTGTACATGGTAAGGATTTTTAAACATCTTTGGCCTGTGTGTGCTCCATTGTCAATATATTCACTCTCTCATCTATGTAGATGTCCTTAGGGTGAGCTCTGGACCACTAAAAATGCAGAATTGAACTATCTCCCAGAGCATTAAATATCTAATCAAACCTTTCAGGCATACAGATCCTCAACGGTCTCTCTGTCTTCCTCATGTCTAAAAACAAAAATAAAAAAATAAAAAAAGAAAGAACTTATTTGTAATATTGTAAACCCAGACAAGAACTATTGTCATCTGAATTCTTTTGCTGTAAATCATGCGTCGATCACAAACAATGGTCACTGTTTTGAGGGTCAAGGTAGATTCACTGGAATTACGTCGTATATACTTAAGCTATCCGCTAGTTCTGCATCTAGAGTTAGAATAATACAGTCCAGGTTGATATCTTTGATTATTTTTATTTTTTCTTTTTTGAGTAGATAAATTTACTCACATACACGGGGCTTGAACCCTCAACCTTCTCCCTTTGGGAGGTGGATGACATATCACTCAAGCCAAAACTATAATGCTGTACATTAGGATGTGCTTTAAATGTTAGGAAAGCATTCCCTTCTTAAGTCACTGAAATGTTGGTGAAATTCACATGGTAATATGGCATGCTCTGAGAATGATGGTGCGTGTATTTATTTAGTCCGATCAACTTTGTGCAGATACCTCTGGTGATGGCAGAGTCCTTATTCTTGGTACACCTTACAACACACTTTGAAAGCACTGGAACTAAGACATCCTACTTTATGGTCTTCTCTAGTATATAGTTTTTTTTTCCCAGTGATTAACGCTAACATATAGTTTTTTTTTTTTTTTTTGGTGATTCACAGTAATATTAGCTTTGCTATATATATATATATTGATCAAGCTATGCCTTTGCCCAACAATTTATTCAATGTCTGCCATTTATGGTGAAATTGTGGATTTAAATGCCATTAAATCAACTGCTACATGATTGAATGCTAATTGACTTGAATGATTGATTCCTTTAAATTTTCTCTAAAATGAGACTTAATTTTGTATGGGATCTAAAATGAGGACCAAAAATAGTTACTGAATCTCTCTGTTCCGTTCAATTCTTGTACATGAAATAACTTTGCATTTGCTCATCTATTTTATCATAATCTCCCCTTTTAAAGTTACTCGGGAGAATAAAAAAAGGTCTCCTCTTCAGTATTTGATATTATTAAGAAATTTGATAAATTCGATTATTTTGGAGCTTCGCTGAATGGGTTCCATCCCATCGTTTTCCATTTTGCTGCTTCGGCTTAAGCAGACGACACAAAAGATCATTTAACAAAACTCATATCTCCCAAAAACAAATATAAATATGAACAACAGAATAGGACAAGCTAAGCTGAAAAAAAATGGACATGCTAGGAATTTTGATAATTCGTATTATAAACACACACACAACTATTTTAGTATGCTTAGAGAGTTCTTTTTTTAAAAATAGTTTTTAGATAACTATAGCTAACTGAGTTGAAATATTTAGATAACAATTTTGACCTGTTTTGAGAATGTTTTGGATACAGTTTTCACTAATGAAAACACGGAGTCTTTGGGTTTCACTTAATTCAAGCCTAGCATCGTTTATAACATTAACAGCCGCACGCCCCTTTCTCTCTCTAACGTCACCAAGTCTCTGACGAACGATCACAACTTCACAGGAAAGGGCTTCTTCGTTCACGATTTTCTCCTTCCAGGTAAAACTCTCTCTCTACTCTATTTTTTAATCTCTCATGTTTTTTTTTTAAATTTTTTTTAATTTTTTTTGAATTATAGATTTCTTTCCTCACAATTAACCTGTTGTGTGCGAATCACAACCCATATATATATATTTGATTATTTTAAAAGGAAAGTCTGATTTCTTTGTATGAACTAAGGGAATCTTTACAGATTTGATTCTGAAAGTAGTATCTTCTATATATTTCTACGATTTATATATTTAAATTCTAAAGTTAGAGCTTAAATCCTTAAAATTAAGGAAGGATTCGTGTCCTAGAATTTTATTAGGGTTTATAGCAAATATATAGGCGAGTGAATTGACTTGTCTTCTTTGGCTGTACATCGGGTCTTTTAGAGAGTCTTTGCGCTTACACTTGCCAATTTGCTTATTTTTCTTTACTTTTCATGACTATTTGCCTTCTCTCTTTAAGTTCCCTTTGTAAATTTTAGGTCCTGGACCATTCAGTTGTTAAACGGAACACCAAGACAACATAAGCTTTTTGGGACTTCTTCAGCAACCATTTGTCCATACTTTGAACTCTCTCCACTCACATAATTCTGTTGAGTTGTGCGGAACAGAATGATTGTGGAATATAATATGAATAATCAACCTAAAATGATAGTGAATAATAGTGAATAGATTTAACTTTCTCTTTTATCTAATTTTTATTTATTTTAATTTTACCGAAATAAAACTGAAATCAAACCACAAAACAAAAATAAAGTGCAAATAAGTAAATTAGGTTTGAGAGATGACACCAGGATTTTTAGAGAGAAAATCTCAATTAGTAGAATAGACTAATTGTTACGGGAAAAATTTCGTTAGACTGTGCATTTCAGAGATAAACGATCCATTATGTTTGAAGTAAAGTACACCGAATTTTGATTCAGGCTCACACCCTATCGTTCTACCAAAAACCAATCGCTGACAATTCCTGACTTTGCGACTCCCCCGTCCAATAGCTGTTGACTTTAGGCTTACTTTTGATCTCTGTAGAAGAGTTGTAGGTAGATCAAACAACACTCCACAAATGCTTTGACCCCTTCAAAGTGTGATCGTTTCACTCATTTCTTCAATATCTGAATTTGACGAAGGACGAATGAATTTTGCTTTTCGGAATTTCTGAATCTTCAATTATGCTTTAATTCCGATGAGATAGGGAATAACACTCCTAAATCACTCTTGTGTTTATGTGTGTGTTCTAAAAAATAAAATAATAAAAATCAAATTAATTTTCTGAATACAAATATCTCTCAAAGATGGCTTTCAATTAGATCTGAATTCTGTATGCAAAAGCCGTAAATAAACCTAGATGACTATCAAGGTTTATATATAGTTTAGAATGTTCTAATCCCTCTGAAAATATAGAAAATTTCGTGCATAGGACTTGGTACAGTTCTAAACCAAATAGGAAATAAATCTGAAACAGGAAACTAGAATTGTAAACTGAACAGGACTTCTTGAACCATGTGTAGAATGTGTCCTAACTTTTTTAGATTCCTTCCTAATGTATTGTTCAATCTTACCTTTTTCGAATGATCTTAGTTATGATAAACTTTGAATAATATTCTAATCCCACAGTTGCTGTCGATCCCGATATAGTAATTTGAAATTACAACTCGACTAGGACTTGTTTTGTTTCCGATAATTGACAATTACAAAATAATATCTCACAATCTCCCCCTTTGGCAATTTTGTGACAAAACTCTAAAAACAATATGTAATTTACCCAAGTAGAAAAAGTAAATTACAATGATTGTCAAAAACCAATAAAAGCGGAACTTTTCTTGAACCTCATGAAACTTCAACACATGTAGCCACTTGTAATATACACATTAGCTCGACAAAATTACTCATGAAGCTTAATCAAGAAAGATAAACAATTAACATATATCAATATGTGAATATCAATATATATATATATATATATATATATATATATATATATATATATATATATATCTCCCCCTCAATTCTAAAAACTCTCCCCCTCAAATATGCACACACTTCTTTTCCTTTTTATTACAAATTAACAAATAAAGCTCAACAAAGAAAGAAAAGAAATATTATGGGAGAATTAACAAGACAGAGATATTAAAATTATCATCCATGCATAAGATATTGCAATAAGTACAAAAACATGATAATATATAGTAGCAATGGAGCCAAAGATAAGTATTCAAGATAACATATGTTCCATCCATAAGATAAATAAGACCAATCATGCTCAAAATTATACACATGATATCTCCATCAAATCAAAAACGAAAATTCCTATAAAAACTAAAAGAAAAATCTTTTTGGATTTTTTTTCAATTTTCAATTTTTTTATTTTTCTGATATTTGAACAAAAATTATTATATAACAATTTCCATGAATTTCAAGTATACATGAGATTCAAAAATTTTTGAAGAATTTAAGGGAATTTAAAAACACGAAATTTTTAGATACCACAAATTATTTAATCAAATCAATTCTCAAGCATGAAATTCAACTTGCAATTTTTATAAAAATTTAGAAATTTACCTAACAAGTTCACATGTGTGTGTGTACAATCCAATCTCATTAATTTCAATCAAATCACATTGACCAATTTCTAAATCATATTGATCGAAAAATATCAAGATAAAATTGT